CCCTCCCCCTTCTATAAATATTCACTTCCTAGATTTCTTGTTTACCCACTTCAATACGGACGAAAAGTATAAGAAATAAAAAACAGAGTGTTTGACATGTATTTCTGGAGCCCCGTTTAAAAGTTATTATATATACAATGCCTATAATCAGGCTGCAGATCACAGGCAAAATGCAGAGCCAATCGCAACATAGCCAATGTGAACCCTTCTCTTTATTTTTTTTTAATGTTAACCCTTTTTTTTTTTTTTTTTTAGATATTTTGGGTCTTTTTTTTTTCCTTTTACATAGCAACAAATTAAAAAACACATTTTGGTTATTAAATACCACCAAAAGAAAGCTCCAAGTCCCAAACAATTATATAAAATTAACTTGGGTACAGTATTGTATTACGGAGTAATTGTCAATAAAGCTATTACATCGATGAAAAATGGCATGGTTATGAAGGGCTATACATATAGGTTAGTACTCAAATGGTTAATGCTAGCAATCTTGTTGACTTTTTTCCCACAATGCTGGATTTCCTGCCTGTGTTCCTGCTGATTTTACAGGAACATGGGTAGTAAATGTATGCTCATGATGTGATCCCCTTCCTATAATCTTCTCTGGTTACTTCTTTTTACCTGGATGTTGGTGCAAAATAGCTACTTTGTGTACTTATAGTCAAGACTGATGACTTTCTGTTGGTGGGAGCAAAAGTTTTTGCTTGTTGACATAATCATTCTTTAGTTTTCCTTGAGGAATACTGTATAAGCAGCAAAGAGTGTAACACATTTCTATGTACGGTTGTCTGTTCATGACGGTTGATGAATTTAAGTACAAAATTATTTCATAAGAGTGTAAGAAGTTGTATTATCTTTATCCATGTCTATAAACCCCCTTTTATTGAATGCCTAACATTTTTAGGGCGGCAACTAATGATTATTTTCATAATCGATTAGTTGGCCGATTTTTTTATTTTTTTTCGATTAATTGGATAAAAAAAAAAAATATCATCCTTAATTTAAAATAAAATACACCAATGCAGTGTTACAAACATAAAGTTTACTTCAGAATAAAACTGCATGCACAATTTATTTGCAATCGCTTTGCACTGGAAAGCACAGCATTGCGGTACCGTGCATTCCAGTGCAGGCGATCACACTGTGGGTGGGAGGCATGTTTGGGGTGCCATCGAAATGAATGGCACTGCAACGCACCTCACGCAGCAGAATTTGTCAGGACAAAACCGAAAACGTCTTTTTTTTTTTTCCTCTCTCCTTTTTTATAATTGTATTTTAAAAAAAAAAAACGTTTTATTGTATTGTAAGCACATGGCGGTTGAATAGCTTGAGCCAGGGAATGACAGCTGCCAGTGGCAAGATTCCTAAGGCGGCAGCTGAATGTAAATACAGTAGGTAGTGGTATGGTGTAATAGCCAGTCTGCTATTGGCCATTTCAAATTGCAATAGCAGGCTGGCTATTGTACCCACACACTGCTTGCTGTGCCCTCCTCCCAGGGTGGAGAAGAGAGCTAGTTGGTTGCAGCCCTAAACATTTTAATTGCCCTTTAAAATGCATATTGTGTTCCTTTTAGGTAAACAATGTGGACTTCACGAACATTATCCGCGAGGAAGCTGTCCTTTTCCTGCTTGACCTACCAAAAGGAGAAGAAGTCACAATTCTGGCGCAAAAGAAGAAAGATGGTTGGTGTTGGCAAAATACATGGGTATTAGTTTTCCAAAATACAAGTCTTGTATCAGACTGCATATGAATATAGGGTATGCAGTTTGTGACTGACAGATCTGACCCAGTACTAAACCTGCATAATATACAACAACAGACCCTGCAGCAGAATAAACTGAAAGTATAACAAAAATAAAAAATATATACAATGACAGAGCTGTCAGGTTATTTAATGGTTCAAAGTAGTTAAATTGCCATTGTAATACCCAATAAATTATGAGGACCACTCTGTGTCCCATACAATTGGAGACTATCGTAAACGCACAACAATAGTCTAAAACATTGCATAATGTGTACACGGTAAAAAATGCATGTATAGAACCAAAGGAACCCCCTGCCTAAACCCACAAGGACCGCTGTCCTCAAATGGGTCCCAAGTCCTGAACAGATATCACAGTGAAGTTCAAACACATTTCCCCACTGGAAAGGAGGCATAAGGAGAGATATAAACATAACATTTATTAGCAAATAATACTGCTGTAACTCTCTAGCAGTGAAGAGGTAATCCAAGCATTTCGGTATATATGTGCGCACCAACAGAGTGTTCTGCAAAACTGGTACTGTCATCAAGCTCAGAAGTGGCAAAATTCCTAAAAAGGAACTTCACTGTCTCGCTGGGTAAGCATCAGCCTCTCTGATGGATCACACTGAGCTCCTAAATCCTGTGGAACAACGTGTAGAATAAATAGCACTGTAGCTGATCATACAAAGTGCTTGCATTCCTCAATGTATACACTTTAGAGCAGTGTTGTAAAGCTGTATTCAGCTGTATCGTTGTCTTGGGTTCCACAAATAGCATACAGGCATCCCTTCACTCTCTGTGATGCATCCTCAACAGAAGTGTAGTTACAATACAGGTGAAACTCGAATAATTAGAATATTGTGCAAAGTTAATTTATTTCCCTAATGCAACTTAAAAGGTGAAACTAATATATGAGATAGACTCATTACATGCAAAGCAAGATAATTCAAGCCGTGATTTGTCATAATTGTGATGATTGTGGCTTACAGCTCATGAAAACCCCAAGAACCCCAAATCCACAACCTCAAAAAAGTAGATTATTACATGCAATCAATAAAACAAGGATTGTACATAGAACAATATCGGACCTCTGAAAAGTACAAGCATGCATATGTACTCAGTACTTGGTTTGGGCCCCTTTTGCAGCACTTACTGCAATTAGTTTTGCACGATATTCTAATTATTCGAGTTTCACCTGTATGTGCATCTTCTTACTTGAGGAAAGACTTCCCTGTAAGTTTAAGCAGGAGTCTTCTTTGTTTCTATACTGTTTTCCCATTACAGGATGGTCCAGACTGTTATGCTTGTATTATAGTCCCCAAATAAAGCAAGGGCACTTACAGGGTTATGCCCAAAAGGGTGAAGAGTTTGGATAAGACAGGACTTTCCAGTTTGGCTATGTTGTCCCAGATTGTTCACTTCTGTCTTCAACCTTTTGTGAATAGCCCTGATAGAGAAAGTACACTATAAGGAACACTATCACCATGGTATTGTAAGTATTTTGTACCAAAATAATTTTTGGGGGGCACAGCAGTGTAAATGTATGTGTGTGTGTGTATATATATATATATAATTATTTTAGGTTTATATACGCTGCTATAGGGTCTGTTGTAGTCCACCATGTAGGTTTAGTGTTTTAGAAGTATGACTGTCAAATATCCAGAATGTGTTCCATGTTAACTAGTAGACTGTAGGTACTACATCATAATAAATTATGATTTCAGTCTAAATATCTGTTATCAGAAGACAGAAAAAAAAAATCTCGGTGTCTACAAAGGTTTTTAAAATATTCTAATCACTAATGTATCACATAGCTATGTAATATTCTTGTACTCAGGGGAGTGAAAGGGAACCTATACATTGCTCAGACTAGGAAAAAAAATACTGGCACACTGCACCATAAGGTACCTACTTACCTTTATTGTGCAAATCTGACACTCCAATTTAATGTCCGAACCTCTTGAAAATGTAATGCTACTATTGACTTTCTGAAATGGATTGTTTGCATAGAGCACAGAATTGTGCTTCTCCTACCCTGACATGACAGTGCTGAGGTCTGCTGGTTGGCTGGTCAGATCGTCTTCCCTGAAAAAGATGTCCATATCTGGGATGGTAAAAAGATGGCACCTTTATTAATTTGCTTAGTCTTAGCTCAGTGCAAGGTTTTAATTCTTGTGAATTTTCATGGTTTCTGTATTTCATCATTCATTTATGCTTAAGGTGAAACCTCTGTCTACCAGTACTACTTGAACCTAAAAGAAGGGGGTAGACCATGGAAAGCTTGTTCTATAAAATGAACTCCGGGTATACATGTTTCTATTTTTTTTTCCGTTCAATCCGCGGGCTGAACAGAAAAAATAGAACAGATTGCTTCAACACTTATGATGAATCCCTCGCTGTTTCTTTTGTATATTGACTGTGGCCGACAGACGCTGTCAGAATACCTGAACGGAGCTAACAGCTGATTGGCTGCTGGCTCCATTAGACAGAATGTTTTCCAACTGGCTCCTTCGAGTAGCTGATCAAGCCCAGCGTAAGGGTGCCAACAGTGGCACCCACGCAGTGAATTTCTGAAGAGTATATTCCCGGCTTTAGCTCAAACAATAAAAGTATCACGGACAGTGCTGAATTCTGTTGTTCTCACTTAATTACAAACCTGGAAAATTACAAACCTGCTTCTCAGCCTATTACTGATGAATTTTCATTCCCTTTTTACTTTTGCTTCTTCCAGTTTATCGTCGCATTGTCGAGTCAGATGTTGGGGATTCCTTCTATATCCGAACACATTTTGAGTATGAAAAAGAATCTCCTTATGGACTGAGTTTTAACAAAGGAGAGGTATTCCGAGTGGTGGATACTCTGTACAACGGGAAATTAGGATCATGGCTGGCTATTAGAATTGGGAGGAACCATAAGGAAGTAGAAAGGGGGATTATTCCAAATAAGAACAGGTAAGAGAAAATTGCTAAAAGATTTTATTGCCATTTACTAGACTATCTTACAATCATGCTAAACGAAAGCAACTGTTATAATTATCAAATATCTCATGTTAGTAAATTATACAAAAACACTAAAAAGAATACACTGTGCTTCATTTCAAGTAAAAAAATAAAAATGTATGGCAAGTATCAAAATGATATAGACTTCTCAATCTCACAAATACAAAATCTCTATCCTTTTAAAAAAATCACTTAA